TGCTGTGGGGTGAGGAGTGGGCAGGGGTGGGGTGCCGTGGGGTGAGGAGTGGGCAGGGATGGGGTGCTGCGGGGTGAGGAGTGGGCAGGGGTGAGGTGCTGCGGGGTGAGGAGTGGAGATGCTGCCTTCGCCGTGTCCCCACCTGGTTTCCCTCCGGGCACCTGCGTCCACGTGTCCTCAGAACAGTGAGAGAATAACTGTCTGGATGAAGCCGCCAGATGAATCCTCCAGACGTGGCCCCGTGTGTCCGCAGGGGCGCTTGCCTGTCACCGCCACCTGTCCTCCTGTCTGCGTGTCCCAGGTCATTCCCCACGTGGCGACCAGAGAGAACTTCTAAACAGACAGATCAGACGGCGCCACTCCCTGCACCAGGCCCCCTAGGACGTCCCTTCCTCTTAGGACGTCATGCACACCCTGTGCCTCACGTGGCTTACGTGGTCCTGTCACGTGACACCACCTGCCTCTGACCTCCCCTCTTGCCACTCTGCCCCTGATCTGTGCTCTAGGGACTTGGTCGTCCTCTGTTCTCAGTCCGAGCTGGTCCTCCTCCCTGGGTGGGGGGCACGTTGCTCCCTCCACTGGAGCGTTCACCCCAGATCCCTCTGTGGTCCCCTCATCACCCCCTGCAGGTGCTTCCTGGGGGGGCCTTTCCCAGGCCCCTCTGCCCCCGGTGTCCTTGACCGCACGTGCCACCACTGTCCACATGACCCGTGTGTACTTCCGGTCTCCTCCTGGAATGTGAGCGTCATGAGCGGGGACCCTGAGCCGTGGTTACCACGGCGTCCCCTGCACCCCGCACATCGCCCGGCACGGAAGGCAGTCTCAGGGGTGTCTGTTGAATGAATGAACGAGTGAGTGAGTGAGTGAGTGAATGCCCAGTGGGCCCCAGGCGCCGGTCCTTGACCGCACGTGCCACCACTGTCCACATGACCCATGTGTACTTCCGGTTTCCTCCTGGAATGCCCAGTGGGCCCCAGGCGCCACTCTGCACCCTGTCACCCTGTCATTAACACATCGAGCACCCATTCCATCCAGAGTTAGATCCTAAGGCCACGGAACCACGAGGCCCACTTCTTTTCTTTCCCCCCAAGTATATTTTATTGATTTCAGAGAGGAAGGGAGAGGGAGAGAGAGAAAGAAGCATCAACAATGAGAATCATTGATCGGCTGCCTCCTGCACAGCCCATACTGAGGATACCCTGGGGATGGAGCCCACAACCTGGGCATGTGCCCCAACCAGGAATTGAACCGTGACCTCCGGTTCATAGGTCGATGCTTAACCACTGAGCCACGCAGGCCGGGCGGCCATGAGACCCATTTCTATCCACAGAGGAGTGAGGTCTTGAGTGAGGACACTCTTCGTCCCTGCGCTTGGAGCAGAGCAATCACACGGCAGGATCATGGGGGCAAAGATGGGCATGACAGGGCCCCTTCCCTCCGGAAATGACAGACTCGGAGGGCGAGACAGACACATACACGCGTTTCTCGGTTTCCCTGACACAAGCCGAACGACATGGAACAGAACGTGTGACTGAGGATCAGAAGGAGCAGAGGCCTCTGGCACCTTCGCTGCCTCTGCCGCGATGGCCTGTCTCCCCGTCAGCTGATGGCGAGGGAGGGCGTTAATTACACGCTGCTTAATTAGGCCGAGCGCACGGGTTTTATTTGCATGAACTCCCCCTTGGGCTCCTGATATTTGCATGACGTTATTGCCAAGCCCTGGCGAGCGCAGCTCACACAAGCAGGCGCTGGTGTTGGCACGCTCGGCCGGCTGTGGGCTATTTGCCTTCCCGCTCGGAGCTCAAGGATGCAGGCCCTTCCTCTGCGCCCACGCCCTGGGCAGGCGGACGGGGCCGAGGCTTCCAGAGAGCGTTGCAGATGAACTTGGCAAGATGGAAGCCAGAAGCTTGCTCGTGGGACCACCTCGACCGTGACACGAGGGAGGTCCTGCTCCTCTCTCTACATGCAGCCCGGGGAGGGCCCGGCCGTGCGCCCTGCCCAGCACCAGTGAGAGCGTGGAGGCTCAGAGAGGCTGAGCGAGGGCCCCTGGACCCCCAGCCCACCTGTCAGGGAGCCCAGCTTGTTGGCCTTGTCGCTACTTTCTTGAGCGCCCGGGGCTCACAGCGTGATCCCTCACCCTCTGCCCCTTTCTGGTTCGGATTCCTCCCGTATCCCTTACAAGCATCCGCCTCAGCAGGTCACCTGGGATGACGTCCCCACGAAAGATTCCTGCCCTCGTCACATCCGAAAAGTCTCTTTGCCACATGTCATGGTCAGACGGCTCTGGAGAAACGGATTCAACAGGCTGTGTAGATGGATAGGCAGGTAGGTAGGTAGACAGACAGACAGACAGATACAACCTATAGTTCAAGGAGCTGGCTGTTGTGGCTGTGGGGGCTGGTGATGTCCTATCTGCAGGGCAGGCTGGCAGGGGAGAGGCCCGGGAGAGAGTGGATGGTGCCGCCCTGAGTCTGAAGACAGCCTAGAGCAGTGATGGTGAACCTATGACAAGCGTGTCCGAGGCGACACGCGAACTCATTTTTTTGGTTGATTTTTCTTTGTTCAATGGCATTTAAATATATAAAATAAATATCAAAAATATAAATCTTTGTTTTACTATGGTTGCAAATATCAAAAAATTTCTATATGTGACACGGCACCAGAGTTAAGTTAGGGTTTTTCAAAATGCCGACACGCCGAGCTCAAAAGGTTTGCCGTCACTGGTCTAGAGGGAGGTTCTTTCCTTTCTGAGGGGCCGAGGCTTTCTCTCACGGCCCCCAACTGATTGGGCGAGGCCCACCGCACTGACACGAGGGAGGTGTCACGTGACAGGTGGTGTCATGTGACAGGACCACGTGTGACACTGTGGAGGGTGATCCGCTCAATTCCAGGCCGACGGACCTAAATCTTAACCACGTCACAAACGTCTAGACTGGCACCTGGACTGGCCTTGCCCACACGGCTGGGCCCCGTGGCCTAGCCACGCTGGCCCGTGAAGTGACCCCCCACAGCGCAGGAGGTGGTGGTCGTGGGTCCCACGGTAGGCTGTGCACACGCCTGGGGGACCATTGTCCGCCTGCTCCCATCCCCGAGGGCTCCTCCTCTGAACTAACAGGGAAGGCCCTCTTCTGAGAAAACGTACACACTGATTCAGGCGACCTAACGGGTGTGCCCCCCACATTCCCACTCCCGTCCGAAGCTTCCCCTGGCAGGAGGGGGTTTCCCCAGGATTCCTTTTACCTCCGTTACGTGCCGTTCCGAGGGGAATTTCATATCCCGGTGTCCTCAGTACAGAAAACGCTTCTCTGATTAAAAGCCCCTTTTCCATATTTTTGAAGAAGAAACTCTCTCTTTTTCTCTCAAATTGCTGTTCTGAGCAGGAAACAGTCCATCAGCTCGGGCTCCTGATTGGACAGGAACGTGGCTACAGTGGTGGGTTCCTGTGGCAGACAGAGGCCTTTACGTTTGGGGGCTGGAGACCCACTGACGCAGGAATTTTGATCCCTCACCATATTTTTTTTTCCCTTTTTCCTTTTTTTAAGAAAGAGAGAAAGAGAGAAGGAGAGAGAAATAGAAATATCAATAAGAGAGAACCATCAATCAGTTGCCTCCTGCACGGCCCACTCTGGGGATCGAGCTGGCAACCTGGGCGTGTGCCCTGACCAGGAATCGAACCGGTGACCTCTTGGTTCATGGGTCGATGCTCAACCCCTGAGCCTCACTGGCTGGACCCTCACCCTATTTTTAAATGACTGGAATGGGAGGAGGAGGAGGATTCCCGGAGAACCATTCCCAGCTGCTGAAACTCCAGCCCTGAGCTGCCTGCTCCCTGCGAAGACAAAGGACACGGAGACTCAAGGAAAAGCCAGCCTGAAACAAAAAATCCTCCGTTTTGTTAACGTCGTAAAATAACATCCATCGCTATTGTCCGGATGATTAATTCTGCTCCCTCGTCCTTGGTCTCGGAAATCTTTAGCCTCTTTGCCAGAGGAATGTTGATTGCAGTGGAAATCTTTGTTCGCTTCAACGCAGCATTTCCTGGAGACTCAGGGGGGCCGTGGTTAGACGCCCACACAGCTGAGGCTCCGTCTGGCCTCCCGTCCGCCAGGTACAGCGACGGAGGTGCCCCGGTTCTGGGTGACGTGGACATTTCCCGTGTGGCATCGTGTGGCATCATCGGACCAACCACAGACGTCCCTCGAAGACTTACCTGGTGCCAAGCCACCCATGGAACCCTCTGCAGACTTCGTCTTGGCTCTTCCCGAACGCATCGTCCCCAGGCCGAGCTCGCGATGACTCGTGTTTCACGATGAGGACACGGAGGCTGAGGCGCAGGAAGGGTCGTCTGAGGAACCTGGGCCTGCCCCATAGCAGAGCCACGCGTGTCTTTGTCGTGGATTTACTTATTTATTTTTCAATTGATTTCAGAGAGGAAGGTGAAGAGGGAGAGGGAGATAGAAACATCCGTGATGCTCTGCAGACTTCGTCTTGGCTCTTCCCGAACGCATCGCCCCCAGGCCGAGCTCGCGATGACTCGCGTTTCACAACGAGGACACGGAGGCTGAGGCGAGGGAAGGGTCGTCTGAGGAACCCGGGCCTGCCCCATAGCAGAGCCACGTGTGTCTTTGTTGTGGATTTACTTATTTATTTTTCAATTGATTTCAGAGAGGAAGGTGGAGAGGGAGAGAGAGATAGAAACATCCGTGATGAGAGAGGATCGTGGATCGGCTGCCTCCTGCACGCCCCACACTGGGGATCGAGCCCGCAACCCGGGCCTGTGCCCTGACCAGGAATCGAACCCACCCTGGACCTTCAGTCCCCAGGCCGGTGCTCTAGCCACTGAGCCACACCGGCCAGGGCTGTCATGGGTTTAATTGGGTCCCCTTCTCCCCCCCCCAAAATATCCGTATGTTAAATTTGGAGTCAACCTCAGAAGACGACCTGATTTGGAGAGAGGGTCACGGCAGGGTCATGAGGGCGGGGCCTGATCACTGGGACTGGCGTCCTATACAATGGGGAGACCTGGACCCAGACACCCCCAGAAGGGAGACCGAGTGAAGACACAGGTCTACCCCCACGGACAGGGCCCCGGGGCGGGTCCTTCCTCACGGCCGCAGGAGGAGGCAGCCCTGTGACACCTGATCGTGAACTTGCAGCCCCCAGGACTGGGCGACAATGCGTGTGTGTTGTTGAAGCCCGGCCCTGGTCCTGTGTTCCGGCAGCCCCAGCCCACACGTGCCAGTCCCCAAGCCGGGCAGCGCCTATCAGGAGGAGAAAAAGGGCTGTGATAAGGGCAGGGAAGGCGTCCCCTCATCTCCACGCGAGCACCGAGTGCCACCTGGGACTCTGCACGGCTCCGTTACCCTGTCCTTCGTCCCCACTTAGCCCCGGATGCTCAGAGCCAAGCCCAGAGAGGTTAGCGCCTCCCTGAAAGTTGCACAGCTGGCAAGCAGGAGTTCTTGGCTCCCTCCGCTGTGGCCTCTCACGGGGGCACCCCACACGATGGGACACGCCCACACACCCGCTCCCCTCCCTGCCCTGGGGCGACCCCAAAATTCTACCCAGAGCTCGGGGAGTCCTGAGAGGGAGACGCCTTCGGATCTAAATCCGTGGCATGGATTTCTGGAGCTGACAAGTCACTTTAGCAGGTGGAATCAATGCCCGGAGGAGGGGGGAGTGGGATGAGGATGGAGCATTTGAGAGCCTGGGGAGAGAGGCAGGGCTGCTGTATTGGAGTGCAGGGCCCTGTGTGCAGAGGGTGCATTTGAGGGGCGGGGGAGCGAGGCAGGGGCTGCTGTATTGGAGTGCAGGGCCCTGTGTGCAGAGGGTGCATTTGAGGGGCGGGGGAGCGAGGCAGGGGCTGCTGTATTGGAGTGCAGGGCCCTGTGTGCAGAGGGTGCATTTGAGGGGCGGGGGAGCGAGGCAGGGGCTGCTGTATTGGAGTGCAGGGCCCTGTGTGCAGAGGGTGCATTTGAGGGGCGGGGGAGCGAGGCAGGGGCTGCTGTATTGGAGTGCAGGGCCCTGTGTGCAGAGGGTGCATTTGAGGGGCGGGGGAGCGAGGCAGGGGCTGCTGTATTGGAGTGCAGGGCCCTGTGTGCAGAGGGTGCATTTGAGGGGCGGGGGAGCGAGGCAGGGGCTGCTGTATTGGAGTGCTGTGCGGTGAACTCTTCCTCTCACAGACACCTGGCTGGCCGCCCCTGCCCCCGCCATCTGGCGGGACCATCTGCTGGGCAGTGGGGCGCTGTGAGAGCTCACGCCCTCTGTCAGCTTCGATGTTTAACTCTCCACTAGGCCCAGCTAATAGGCTCCCCAAGACCCGGGGCCTCCCCGTCGAGGCGGGAGGCGCTGCTTGCGTGTCCGGGGATGGAGGACGAGGAGGAGAACCAGCTCCTCAGGCCGCGCCTGCTCTGCTTCTGCAGCCACTGGGGTGCTTGGCACGTGGTCAGCTCGCTCAGTCCTCCAAATAGCTCAGCGGGGAAACGCCCTCTGTCACATGTCACCCACTTTATGGAGGGAAAGACAGAGGCCCTGAAAGTCACCCTGACTTGGTACTTAGACTGAAACCTCAACCCAAACTCGGAGGTAAGCTCAGCCGCTGCCCCCCTGATGCCTCGGGGTTCCCAGCCTCACCCGCCAACCGACCA